TTTGGAAACTAACTTCACAGAACTAGATGAAGATTTGGAACAGCCGAAAAATCTTGACCCTCAACAAGTGTATGCGGAGAATATGGAATCTTTCCAAGAGTCTAAGAAAAATTCGGCTGACATAGTAGAAGAATATCGAAAAATGTTCGCCGACATACAAAAGACTCCAACATCAGATGAAAATATTCAGCATAGAATGGAAGTACTGAAAGAAAATGTACGCAAATACAATAATCCTTTTTACTTACGACCATATAACGTTCAATCTTTGGCTGAACTCGGTGAAAATAAAAGGTTAAATTTCAACAAAACATATAGAAATGAAACATTGTTTAAAGTTCATTCAGAACCTAACCAATATGGAAACAAACCTACTTTTGTTTCTGCAGACTATGGAACTACAATGAGATGGGGTCATAAAGCTAATCCGGATAGGTGGTTCATAAACTTACAACCACAATTCCAAGAAGTTGTAGACGCAATGGAAGTGAATGGTGAACCAGATATAGCTGGTATTTTCAGCGCGGCTTTAATGCCATTGAAAGATATGAAAGATGCAGATATTTTGGACCAGTATGAAATGAACATGGCTGATGGAAATATAACACCTGACGTTCTAGAACATTTATCTCAAAGAACTACACAGAACCATAGAGATGGTATATTTGGTGAAGAGTTTAGAAAGAAAGTTAGGGAGAGAGAAGGAAGAGAACCTATTGTACATGACCTTGCAAACGAAAGTTTACAAAATGTCATAAAAACTTACTTTGCAGACAATGAACTGAGAAGGGATGAATATTTAAGAAAACTCAAATGGACAGTACCAAATGAAATGTTAGTATTGAAAAACATGTTCCTTGACAAAATAAAACCAACTACAGAAATAAATGACGCAAGACTGAAACATTGGGTAAAAGCTTTCCCATTCACAAAAGATATTATTGGTAACATGGAAAGAAAACCAGAATGGCTACAAAAACATATATTTGGAAACGAGCTTATTCCATATGGACAAGCTCTGTTTGAAGAGCTTGAACCGGAAACTCAGGAAAGAGTCATGCAAACAATACGCGAAGACTCAAATACAAACTATGACAAAATCTTTCTAGGATATAGGTTACCTGAGATGGGCGACCAGAGCCCAAAGGCAAAAAGGACATGGGAAATTTACAACATACTAGGTGAACATGAGGCAAAGATGCAACAACTTGAAGCAGAGGGCAAGTTACCAAAAGCGACACCAAAGAAGAGAAGAGTAGAACAAAGTGAAAGTAGTGAAGAAGTAACTTCATCTAGTGAAAGTAGTGGCAATGAAGGAAAAAGAAGAGTTAAAAACTCAGTCAGGAAGAAAGTAAAGCTTGGTCCGAGTGGGTTCTATTATGACATAAATCCAACTATTCTATATTTTTACCCATATGAAATGTACGCCGCTCAGAATATAACGCCAACAGTTTTGGATGCCATGAACGGAAATGTTTCCGAATGGTATAACGAATGCGACAATGCCATTAGAAGGTCAGAAATAGTTCCTGGAACTTACGAATATACAACTGCTGTTTCTTATGGAAACGTAGGTGAGTTTGGAGAAGGTTCTTCAACAACAGTAGATATTGCTTGCGACAGGTTTCATATTATTTCTATTGACAACTCATTCTTATACGTGGAACAAGACATTGAAATAAAACCTTCTGCCAAGTTGTCTGACAAGAAAGGTTGCAATGGAATTTTCTATGTCGGATACCAATATGCTCCAGAAGTTTTCATGGGATATAAGATATATTCTAACTCTGACTTAGTTCAAACAGTAACATGGGCAAACTATGAATGGTTCGCTTTGAGAAACTCAGTACAACCACAAGCTAGAGAACAAACAGACCAGTATGCAACTATTGAGAAAATAAGAAGACTTGACCCTAACGTTCCAGGAGTTTATGTTAACCTTTCTGGTTCAAACTGCAGCAGTACCAAAGTAAAACTGAAACTTAGAGTTCCTTTGTCATCTTTCCTCATCTTCAGGTTTTTAAGATACTTGCCAAACTGGGCAGGAAAAATTTCTATCGAACTTACTCCAAGCAAAAATAACTTAGTCATTGCACCAACACAAGACCCATTCACTATTACAGACGTAAAGGGAACAAATCAAACGTCATTCGCCGATTTTGCAAAGACAAAGTTGACTTAGACTTTGGTTTCTCAAACTTCAACATGAAGTAAACTATTATTTCAATGCTGCTGGAACTGCTTGGGACCCAGTTAAGTTCACATGCGAAAAATTTGAATGCAAGAGAATAGAAAGCAGACTTGCAGTCTATATGTTGGACCCAGATATTTCAAATGCTTTAGCTGCCAAATATATTGCAGTTCCACTTATGTTCCCTATACACCAAATATCTGTCAAAGACTTTGCAGGTGAAGTTGGAAACCAAAGTGCTGACCCAGGTGCAAGAACAGATATTGCTTTAACAACTGCAATGAAACATGCAGATACTATGTTTGTACTGTTCAGACGAACTATAAATGACTATTCTTGTTTCTACAACCCTGGTATTAAATATCATATAAACATAGATGGCAAATATTATCCAAGAGAAGAATATTCTACAGTTGAGGATATGAGGTCATACAACTTGACATTAGATGCTATGAACTTTAACAACAACTTCACAACAACCATTAACCCTGAAATGCAAAGTTCTATTATGCCATATGTGAAAGTATGGACTCATACAGGAGGTCAAAAAACTCAATATACAAATGGAGACCGTTCAAACTTTTGGCTTGGCATTCCATTTGCTGACTCAGAAGACTTTATGGGTGGTATTTCAACTGTTGGTACTGTCAAATACAATATACTGGTGACAGAGACGGTCCAGATGAATTGAGAGCAAAGAAGTTTACAAAACCAATAGCACTTTTCACGGAAGATGCTCTTTTGAAGATTCGTTCGATGAAACCTGCTGGGGCTCCTCAGATTGGCATAACGACAGCTTCCATCGAGCAGATTTTGGCAGCAGGTCAGTAAGTTGTTCTTGAACTGACTTCTCTCCGTCAAATATTGACAGTACGCCAGTTTTGACATAATATTGTAATAAACTTACCTTTAGAAATATCTGTAAGTTTTGTTGTTATATTTTTGTCTGCTTCAAGAACTTTCACCATTTCAGTTATACCAACTTTCTTTGCTTTATGAAAATATTTTGGTTCAGCAAAGACTGCTATTCTATAACATTTTCCATTGTTTGTATAAAGAACTATTCTGTCAATGTATTTGTATTGTTTGTGTGTGTAAACTTTGTTCTGCTTCAATTCGAAGAGATATCGAATACGTCCATCTTTTTATTCTAAGTAAAATGTCATTTCCGAAAAATAGAAGCGTAAGTGTTTCAAAAGGTTTAATGGCGGTGGCAGATGTGAAGTTAAATTCACCAACTCAAACAAACAGTCAAAGTGTTATTGTCAATGTCAAAGACAGAGATGTTGAAGTGGGGAAACCATACGAAGACGAAGATGGTATAACAATTGTTCCTGTAAAAGAACAACCAACATATCCTGAAGTTAGCAGAGACTTAAGTTCTGTTGCAGATATTCGAAACGACTACCAACAACTGAAAGACAAACTTCAAACTCAGGAGAAGATTTGTCAAGCTTTAAGTATAATGTTAAACTTGGTCGAACACAACCCTGTAAAAGTGAACTCATATGTCATTGCACCTCATGAAGTTTTGAAAGAACTATTGAAACTTTTGACAGAGGCAGACGATATAAACATCAAAGAAATAGAACCCGACATTAGTTGCTGTGGTGTTTCATATAATGTCATTGACAAGATATACGTTATGAAAGGAGGTGAAACGTTGAACTTAAAATATAGTTTCCCAGACGTATAAAAATATTTGACGACCACAACATTTCATTAAAATTTATTTGCTAAGTAAAATGTCAAAACTTCTTGAAAGATGTTTGAAGAAAAATAATATAGACTTTATTTCATGTAAAGGACTTTACACACTTTTGAACGATATGAAAGACCCTGTTTTGTTTGTTCGTGTAGACAAAGGAAAGTTCTATGTCTTTACAAAATATTTGAACTTCTTAGACAGAGAACTTCAAGAAACGCCATGTGAAAGTTTAGATGAAGTTCTTCTCCACTTTCAGAAAAACTTTTAAATATATATAAATGGCAGAAGACATAATGGTTTATACTATTACGACTAAAAACCCTGAGTCATATAATTCTATAACAACAAACTTACAAAGTCCTCAAGGACGATATTGTAAACTAACCTTAAACACAATGACGACTAAAGCCTGTTTTGCTCTTTTGACACCAGAAGACTTTATTGTTGTGAATGGTAAAAAATACTCCTTTGAAGATACTTACTCAGATATACCACCAACAGGTTTTGTTGACTTATTTAATACTTTAAGGACGGTGTAACATGTGCTGCAACTAGAGCAGGTTTCATTATGTTTGGATGTCCGACTGAGTTTACTATAAACGATATGAGCTATAATACAAAACTTATTTCTGGTTTTTACTACCAACAGTTTCCTATAACAGGAAAAGGTGTCATACAAGGAATGTCTATTCCATTGACTTTAAGCACACCAATTTATATATTGTTTCAAACTTAGGTTCAAAGTGTTATTCGAATGTCGACAGAAACTATTATGACCAAAAGATACTTATGCGTATAAACAATACTTTCTCTGCTGGTTTGCCTATTGTTCATTCGAATGCAGAATTTTCAACCTTAGTGAACTCAAACACTTTGGCAAGTATAACGTTGACATTAGTTGACGCAAACTTTGTTCCTGTAAAACTTTTATGTCCTATGTATTTGTCAATGACGGCAGAAAGTTTCGAATTGGAAGATGCAACTGGTGAAAGTATTGTATTACAAGAACAACTTCAACAACAAATAGCTCAAGAACAACAAATGCAACAAATGGAACAACAAAGTCAAGAATAAAAAAAATATTTTTTTATTTTTATAAAAATGTACAGAATAGATGTTTCAGATTTTTATGACTTCCAAGCATTCAGAAATATGTGTCCATTTCGAGACTATAACAAAGCAGTCGAGAATTTGAAACGTTTAGTCATTTATGTCGACTCTGCCCCAGAATGTTATGTTATGAAAGAATGGGATGTTGTCTTTAACAAACCAAGAGCAACAATAGTTTCAGAACAAGAATGTAGACAGAAACTTAAGAAAATAAAAGTCGTACAAGTTGGCATGAAGATGTTAGATGCTTGGGATATCTTATTGTCAAAGTTAGAAGATTTTTCAGTTCGAGGTATAAAGTTCTATACACCTTCTCCAAACTTCTATTCTATCTTCACTGGATATAAATACGAACAAGTAGAATGGAAAGAAAATATTATAGAAGCTTGGTTAGACCATGTCAAAGAAATTATATGCAATGGAAACGAAAGAGTCTATGAGTATATCTTATGTTGGTTTGCAAACATCTTACAACATCCAAGTGCTAAAAATGAAACTGCTCTCATTATAATTGGAAAACAAGGAACTGGTAAGAACACATTCTTTACAGATATTTTGTGCAAACTGTTAGAGGGCTATTCGAACCCGAATATGACAAACTTAGAAAACATCTGCGGTAAATTTAACTCTCAATAGAGAATATGAAACTTATAGTTTGCAATGAACTTCAAAGTATAGATACAACAAAAGTTTTGAACTCAGATGCTTTGAAGAGTCTTATAACAGACAAAGTTGGAGTTGTTGAAAAAAGTATAAAGACCAAAGAGTTTGTGAAAATGTTGCAAACTTCATTATGGTTTCAAACAATGCTGTTCCGATGAAGTTAGAAAGTTCTGACAGAAGATATGTAGTTGTCAGAACGTCAGATTCTCATATGCAAGATACAGAATATTTTGACGACTTAGCAGAAACTTTGACATCTGACTTTTACAACCACTTGTTCTCATATTTCATGACATTAGATATTTCAAAGTTCAATCCAAGACAAATTCCACATACCGAAGAGAGACAAACATTGTTAGAAGCAAACAAGAGTGTATATGAACTGTTCATAGATGAAACTGACTTTGAGTGTTTAGATGAAAGGTCATTGTACGATTCGTATAAACAATATTGTCAAGAATATGGTTATATGCAGCGTCTAAACGAACATTCTTGGCAAATGTCAAAAGTCTTTTAGACGTACAGAATGGTGTATATACAAAGAAAAATTTTTCTGAGTAAATTTTAAAAAAAATATTTTTTTATCCGATAGAAAAGATGGCAAAATTCATCTCAGTAAACAAGTACATGTCAGGACTTAAAGAAGAACTAGACCCATTCACATATTTGAATGTTTACTTCTACCATTTTGAAAAGTCTTCATTCAGCAAAGTTTGGAACATCGAACCAGTTAAGTTTGCTATTGTGACTAAAAATGGTGCGAAATTTGAAGACTTAGACATAGAAGGTTTGTTAGCAGTCAAAGAAAGTTTTGACAGAAGGTTTCAAACCTTAAAGAAGGCAAAGCATACAAACTTGTTATACCTTATGAACCAAAGAAAGCAGACGACTATGAATATTATGAGTCTAAGATAGTTGAAGTTCAAGGTAAATTGGGTAAAAAGATTTTAGAGTCTAAGCCAGTGTTTGCTCCTAAAGAGGAAGAGAACATTGACATTGACCCAGAAATGTTCTAAAAATAAAATTTTATTTTTACATGTCAAATTTCTTCTCTGGAACTGGTTCAGGTTCTTTCTTCTCTTCTTCTACTTTCTTTCTTTCTTTTCTTCTTTCTCTCTTCTTCTTTTCTGGTGGAGTTATGTCAAATTTGGCGCAACCATATTTATGTAAAAGTTCTTTGTCCTTTAATAGCTCATCTATTCTGTTTTCTATTTCATCTTCAAGAACAGCGCATGTGTCTTCTTTGCATTCTAAAACTTTTGTTGGACTTCATCTCTCCACACGTCATCTCTGTCAACAAGTCTGTCATTGACAAATTTTAAGACTGCTCTTTGTAATGTTTTATGGTTCTTGTCATATTCCCAGAAACAGAAACTTTAGAACAAATTCACCTTTCTTGTTTACACTATGTAAGATTTTATGGTCGACAGATGTTTTGCTGTCGAAAAAGCTTGTCTCGAATATAGATAGCGAAATCGCTAGACATTTTCTAAAAGATAAAAATTTTAATTTTCTAAAAATAGTTAGAAAAAAAGTTTGCTGACATTGACAAGAAATTTGAGAATGTTTTAAACAAGAACAAGAGGAAGTTAGAAAATGCTCAGATTAAAACCTATACATGACAAGTTCTTATTTGCTCAGAATGGTATATACAGGTCTAATTGCACCACCTGGGTCGGGTAAGACTTTCACTTATCTTAAAATGGCTGCACAACACAAGAACTAGATGAGAAGAACCCATTCTATGAGTTAGTAGTAATTTGTAGTACTTCTGGTCAATTTGACCAAACCGTCAATTCGTTCAAAGATATTATAAAGAAGTCTAAGTTAGTATGTATAAAAACTGAGTTGTTAGATTGGATAAAGAAGTACCAAAGAAGAGTTTGAAGTATAATGCTATAAATGAGTATATAAATTCTAAGTTTAAAGACCCAAATGAGGAAATGCAGAGAATATTAGAGAAGAAACACTTCAGAAACAAACAGAAAGAGATAGAATACATTTCGAAGAAATTGCAATCTTACGATTGGAAGACCTACCCTCATAGATGTCTTCTTATCTTAGATGATTTCGCCTCTCATCCTTTGTTAAAGAACAGAGAACAAGATATGTGTCGAATTCTTAAGAAGCTCAGACACTTTAAACATCTCAGTCTATTTGTGTACAGACAGCAAAGAGTTTAAGTAAGGATGTAAAGAGAATACTTACTGACATTGTACTTTTTCCCCGGATTGTCCGAAGACGATTTCATGGAACTTATGAAAGAGTCCATGGCAGTAAGTTTGACAGACATGAACTATGGGAGAAGTACAAAGTCATAACAAGACCCTCATACTTCTTTCAGAATATATCTACGCAAACAAAGTTCAAATTGTAAAAAGTCAAGCTGAAAAATAAAGAGTTCATTTACTCTGCTTGTTTTGAAGTTGTCAAAATACTCTGTTATTTTTTCCTTCAGTACGGTAAGTCTTCTTTGAAGGTAAGTAATTGTACAACCTTTCATATCATAGTGTGTTGAGGTAACGTATCTTGAACTATTTGTTTCACATCTTCATTTGGGGTCATTGAAATCGGTAAGTTTTCGCGATAGAACCAATTTCTGTCAGATTTGTAAATCTTAGCAAGGTCGTAAAAGCTTTTGTTGTTTCTTCTGACTAAATGCAACATAACCATATCTCTGTCTTCTTCATTTTCCATCTCTTCAGTATAAATCATATACTTATAGTTCTTTTCCTTTCCTTTTGGTACCGAACGTGGTATTTTTTCTGAATGCTTTTGTCTTTTGCTTCAAGCTTGTTCTCTAGCTCTTCACGTTCTTGTCTATGAATTTCGTCAAGAAGTCTGTAAATATACCAAGCATAACGAGCGAAGCCCACATTGCAACAGCATTTACAAGAAGTCTATGTACATAATATCCTCTTAAATTTATTGGCAAATTTTTACGATTTTCATGTGTTTTATGCAAGGCCGAGAATTCTCGGTCTAGAGAAATTTCACTCAAAAGTTCTTGTGTGCTTCGGTTTTTGAACCAATCGTCTGCGTGTTTGGTATCTGGAGCAAAACATGCCAGTCAAAATACTTTGCATTTGGTACATATCGTCTTTGACCGAACGAATTAGACGCAATTGTTTGTTAAACTGTATGTACTCGTATTCTTCATTTATAGCTTCATGACTATAACTGTTGTTTGTGTTCTCGGTTGTTGACATATCTGTCTTTATATTCCGGATAAAAAAATAAAAAAAATAAAAATAACTTTATTTTTTATTTCGGGAAAATTCATGAAAATTCAAGAGGGTAGAAATGAGGGTAGAAATGAGGTTAGATCTAACCTTCTACCCTAAATTATATTTTTACTGAATTCAGCAACAAAATTCAAATTGTAAAAAGTCAAGCTTGAAAAATCTAAGTTTAGTCTTAGTAAGATGGTAGCTTCTTAAAGCAAATACCATTGCTGAGTTTTATGTACGTGAAGAGAAGTACAATGAATTCAATTACGAGTACAATTGCAATGACAACTAAGGCAACTATTTTTGTCTTTTGCCAGCAAGGGTACTTCTTCTCTTCCAATGGTTCGGCAGAACTATACTCACTCATGAGAAATGCCAAAACGGTTTAATAGAAAAAGTGTCATTTTTTCATGTCCGAAGACTCGAAGGTGCAACACTTCCAAAATACCGACGAACTCAGAAGAGCAGCATGGCAGTACTTCTTGACAACTTCTTTGATTCTCCAGGAACACCTTGGAAAATGCTGAAGAACTCCGACACAGAGAATTTGGAGAAATTGCACTCCAATACTACCTTGACAAACAAAGGGTAAACAAAGGGTAAACAAAGGGTAAAATAAGACTAAAAACTTAACGTTTAAAAAGTGACATTTTAATGAGCTCCGAGTCACCGAGAAAACTTGTCAGATGTTAGCAGCTTACTTCCCTGAGGAGGATGGAAGCGTTACATACATAAGGTTCAAAAACAACGAACCTGGAATTGCGTACCAAATTCGCAATTGCATGACCATGGAAGAGTACGAAAGGTTCTACAAAGAGAAACCAGCTCTAAACAACTCAGAAAAGAAAGAGTAAAAAGTTTAACTCGTAATTGTTTATTTTTTTACTTGTAGGGCAAGCTGCAAGTATGAAGTCGACTACCTCCGTCTTTGTTTTGACGAGCTGGACGGCTCTTGCGAGTACGTTCTGTTTTGCGGTCTCCAGCTGGTGTCTGACCTTCGTAATTGCGCATGTTCTTGAGAGCTCCAACTGTAAATGATTGTAGGATGAAGAGTCTCTCAGACTGCTGAGGTAGTCTTCACGGTCACGAACTGAATCTGTGGTACGAGTCGAATCGGTCGATTTGAGGGAAGAGACTGAAAGCCTGTCGTCTTCCATTGGAGCTGTAGCATACTCTTTGCGTAAGCGGTTCAGACCTTCTTCGAAGTCTTGGTCTCTCTTCGATTGAGATTGGAATTGGAATTGCTGGGGTGGAGCTTGCTGGAACATCCAAGGGTTGGGGAAGTAAGGCATAGGCTGAGGAGGAGGGTAGTTCGGGAAGCCTTGTGGTGGGTAGTAACCTTGAGGTGGAAATTGGTAGTAACCTTGAGATGGAAATTGGTAGTAATTTGGTGGAGGGACTTGCTGGAACTGAGGTGCAGGGGCTGGTGCTTTAGGTTCCTCTGGTTTGGGAATGGACTCGGTTGGTGGTACGTCGGACATTCGTTTGTGTCCTGTCAGAAGGAAGAACTTTTCCTGTCAGAAGAAAGAACTTTTCCTGTTGGAAGGAAAAACTTTTCCTGTTGGAAGGAAAAACTTTTTCTGTTGGAAGGAAAAACTTTTTCTGTTGGAAGGAAAAACTTTTTCTGTTGGAAGGAAAAACTTTTTCTGAAGTTCGACCAAAAAGTTCTCAATTTTCGAAAATTTGAATGGTTTACGGACGGACAACTGGAAGAGTTCTTCCTGTCGGAAGGAAAAATTTTTCCCTTTGTCCGGAAAATTTTTTCCAGTTGTCGGGAAAATATTTTCCTGTCGGATGGAAGGACTCGGAATACCAGAAGGATTTGACGAGGCAATTTACCTAATTGAAATTAACGACTGCGTAAAAGACTACTTGCGCAGGGTAATGAAGCCCAAGGTCAAGTTCACCACTATTTCTGGAAGGTCTACACTTCAGCTCGAGACTTCGACTGGAATTCCAATTCAAATACCAGACGGGACAGCCTACGATGGCATAAAGGACGCCAAAAGAGAAGCTCTTGTTAAGTTCCTAAACAAACGTCCTTGGATAAAAATACCAAACAAGGAGAACCCCCTACCCCATATGAAATTGGCAATTCAGTCACTCCTTCACTTCTCGGGTCAGCCGTTCTTCATAACCTCAGAAGGCGACATCCAACCAGTACTGTAAACCTTAACGTTTAGAGTAAAAACATTTTTTTTCATTTTTTGAATGAAGCAAGTTAAATTCGTCCCACACCAATCTCAATGGACCGATGAAGAGTTTCAAGCCATGGTTGAAGGTGTTGAGAACGACATAGACGGCGAACTTGAAGGAGCTCAAATCACAATTGCAACCAAAATTGCAGAGGTCAAGGAACAGATAGCTCCACTTAAAGCTACCAAAGCTACTCTTGACCTCATGGATAGTTACCGTTTAGATGTCAAGAGTGGAATAAGACAATTAAAATTAAAACTTCTAAACTACGAAGCTATACTCCAAAAGTTAGCAGAAATGAGAAGACTTTACCAGAGCTACTTACATGTAAGGGACTTACCTTCAAGCAGTCCGACCAAAGATGAATTTTCTGACATTGTCCCAATTTTGTCCGAAAGTCAGCTCAGATGTTTTGAACTGCTCCCAACATATCCAGAATATGAACGTTTGCCTGAACTCTTCCGCAATCTCAAAAAACGTTTTTTGGTTCTCATGTTCGAAACTTTTATCGGAAGAGACAACAAACGTTCAGAAGAAGAACAAGATATTATTTTAAACTTGTTGTATGACATAACTGTCATAACAAGCTTTTTGAAGTAAAACCGCCATTCTCAAACCACTTCATTTTTTCGATGTCCGAACAAGCACCGAAGCCGAACACAATAGCAGATGTCCTTTCAAGGTTGCCAGACAAGCGCCCAGTTCAAATTCAAATTGCCCAATTGAAAGCTCATCTGACAAACACTATTAAGACTCTCCAAAGTAGTCTTATGACAGAGATGAAGGAACTTAAAGCCGATGTCCTCATGAACCAAGCTTCCAATGAGAAATGCCTGAACGATTTCACGGAAACCTTGCGCAATTACGAGAGAGAGAACCGAGACCTTGCCAGACTCATCTACCGTTTCTTCGAAGAGATAGACGCCATCTGGAAGGTACTCGGAAAGGACAGAACATGCAACACCGTACTTCGTGAGTACCAAATTGAAGAAGGAATTGTCGAGGAAGAAGAGGAAGAAGAGGAAGAAGAAGAAGAGAAACACGAAGAAAAGGAAGTTTGGTCAACCCTTGTTGCCGATGACGGTTACGAAATTTCCCAACCCTACCCATACCAAATCCGCAACAAGGAGACAGGCAAGGTTCTTACCCCAGTCCTCAACAACTTGGGACACTTGAACCTTAACCTTCGGAATCGCGGTTCAATCTCCATGGGCAAGCTTGTCGCAATTCAATGGGTTCCAAATCCAGGCAAGAAGACGAAGGTCAGACACATTGACGGTGACAAGCTCAACAACCGTAAGGAAAACCTCGAGTGGTTCTAAGAGTAAAAAAATTTTATTTTAGGGGGAAACCCCAAGTAAATTTAGGTGTTTATTTGGATAAGTATGTTAAATTAAGGGTAATTTGCAAAATTAGTTCCCGACCTTTGAATTGGGCTCTTTCGTTATCCCAGTTGCGTAGGAGGTCGTCCCAGAGGAGTTGGTAGAATTGCCAATCCAAGGACGATTTGTCCTCCCAGGCATTGAGGATGTACTGCTTGTAGAGTTTCATGACCTCTGCCTTGCACCAGACACCCTCTCCCTTGGAAAGTAAGGCTTCTTCGAAGTGCTCGAATGCGATTGGCTGCGTGACCATCCGAAATGACACTTTTTGTCCGTTTGGTCAATGTTCGTGTCTCGTGCCATAGTCGACGAAAATACAGACAAACAGGTTATATATGAGTTTGAGACCAAGAATGGTGTAACTCGACCTGTCCGATTCAAAGACTCCGAGGGCGACCATGAAATTAAACGGAAATTAGCTAGGAAGGAATATAAAATGGACTGGTTGCCACCACCTCCACCACCTTTACCTGTTCCTCAAGTAAATAAGCCTTTCCCGTTCCCAAGAATTCCCACATTTTAATTCAAATTCGAATAAAAATTTTTTATTTCATGCAATGTTTTATTTCTGTGCCGTCTTCAAGTATGCCCCAGTACTTACGCTTGGAGAGGACATGAACTTCGGTGAAAATTTTGTCCAATTTGAATTGACCCATCTTCTCACCGACTAAACCATTTCAATGAGTTTGTTGTACCCTTCTTCGTTCGTCATGAGTGCGTCAATGTTCTCATAGTAAACCACAACTTTCGATTTGACTTCGGAGAAGAATTTGTTGTAGTTGTCAAGGACTGCCTTTGCGAACTGAGGGTAAGACCAATGTTCGACAATAGGTTTTAATGTGGTTACTAAGCCACTTTGACCTTGAGTGAATTCGTACTTCAAAACAAAAGGAGAAAACCTTTCAACAAAGTTGTCGACCTTCTCATAATGTTTACTCTTCATCTCTTGAGGTTTCTTAATGGAATATCCCCATGTCGAATTCATAAGCAATTTGAGTGTCATTGCAAGTTTGGGGTTTGAAGCTTTCCTAATATCATACAGTTGTTGTATGACTTTTCCAACTGTATAGTTCCTTCCCGGGAACTCACCATCTTCGTTTGGAATTCCAGTCGGAATATATTGGACAAACCTCATGTATGCAGCGTTAAGGTCGACATAGTATATCTTTTCGTTGAGTCGAACTTGTCGCAACCAATTGGTCCAGTTTGTGGAAATTCAA